GGGGGGTGGGGGGAAGAAGGGAGTGTGAGGTGGAGGGGTTTAATGGGAGGAAAAAAGGGGACATCTGTAATACTTTAAACAATAAAGATAAATTAAAAAAAAAAAAAGTTAGCAGGTCCTTGAAATGATGATACATCAAAAGGACTCAAAAGCTGGTCTGACAGGGTAGCCACTTGCTTAATCTGGGATTATCAAAATTAGTAACAGTAACAGATTACATAACCCACTGAATTTAAAAAAGAATCCTTGAATCAATTCTGTTATAAACAAAGAAATACATAATGGGAAGAAGAGAAGCTTTTCCTTATAGTAGAATGCCAACTAATGAATGTAGATGGTATGACAGAGTTAAAAAAACCACCATTTTATAATAACAATAAAATACTGATTAAGGCAAGAATCAGTAGTGGATTTAAAACTACTGGGTACAAGTTTGACGGGAAATAGGGTATTTTCAGTTTCAGAGTATTTCCCCACAAAGGGGAAAACATTATCCTTACAATGGAGAGACCTGGCAGACACCTCTAAACTAAGTGGCCCAAGTTAACTTCACCAACAACGGGACAAACTGATATCATGGACTTTGTGTTATGACACACTGAGGACAGATAAAATTTGTCACAGTACTACAAAAATATGCATTATATGAATTTAATCATGAAGAAATAATCAAACTAATCCAAAATGAAGATTTATAAAACTAGCCTATATTCTACAAAAATGTCAATGTCATAAAAAAACAAAGAAAGCTTGAGGAACTGTTTCAGATTAACAGAGACTAAATATATATGACAACTAAATGTGATTCTAGATTGGGTCCAGGATGGAGAAAAAAAAAGTTATAAAAGAATTGTTGAAAGTCAACTGGCAAAATTTGAAATGTGGTCTCCATATTAGAAAATAGTACTGCATGTATCAATGGTAAATTTCCCGAGTCTTGGTAAGTTTACTATAGCTAGTGTCCTTGTTTTAGGAACTATATACTAAAGAATTTAGGAGTAAAGGATCAAGATATTATCTGTAACCTACTCTCAAATGGTTCAACAACAACGTAGAGATATAGAGAGTGAAGCAAAAGTAGGTTTACAGTTGTTCGTATGGAAAAATAATAAAATAGTTAATAAATAATACAAGAATAAGCTGTTTCCTGTACTCACAACTGTAAACCTACTTTTGCCTCACCCTGTATTTATATAAGGAGAGAATGATTAAAGCAAATACAGCTAAATGTTGACTGGTGAATCAAGATAAAGGATATATAGCCCAGCCAGCGTAGCTCAGTGGTTGAGCGCTGACCTAGGATCCAGGAGATTGAGGTTCGATTCTGGGTCAGGGCACATGTCCAGGTTTCGGGCTTGATCCCCAGCAGGGGGTGTGTAGGAGACAGCCGGTCAATGACTCTCTCTCATCATTCATGTTTCTCTCTCTCCCCCTCTTCCTTCCTCTCTCTGAAATCAATAAAAATATATTTAAAAAATAGAAAATAAAGGATATACAGAGCACTATTCTTGCAACTTTCTGCAAACTTGAAATTTTTTTCAGAATCAAAAATTTCCTAAAAACTATTCTAATAATGTAATGAAGGTACAGGAAATTAAAGAATGCGCTGAATATCCCAGGACATACCTTTAAAGTCCCTTTTAAAAATAAATTTCTCTTAACTGCTTATTTACTTGTCATAGAATAACAATTTAAGCTTTCTTGCTTTAGGGGGGGATGTATTCTGCACTAGAAGCAGTATAGCAAAGTAGTAGTTTTGAATATGGGCTCTGCATCAGATTGCCTGACTTCAGTCATTCATATGTGCTTAGGCAACTATCCAGTTAAACCAATGTACACTATTAACAAATAATAATACTATCACTAAGACTATTATGAAGATTAAATGAGATAATGCATCTATAGCACTAAATGATAGTAAATTGGTGTCTCAGTGTGAAAAATGCCATTCTAATATACATTTTAAAGTAAATTACATGAAAAGAAAGTCTAAATTCTAAATCTTAAAAAAAGAAAAAGGAATTGATTTTTTTTCTATACTAATTTGGCAAACATCTTTCTAAGTTACTTACTCATCCCCAAAGAGTTGATGGGTATATTCAGGAAAGAAAGTTCTAATGTCATTCTCAAGATCTTCGGGAAAACGAACTGTTTAAAAGAATAAAAATACAGAGATATTAAAGATATTGAAGATTTTAAGGTGACGGGTTATTTCCAAATCAAGAATTTCACTATACCTAGATACAGTCAACATTTTTCTTACTTAAATTGTCACTTTTCCATTATATGATTTATACTGGGTTCTCAAGAGACAAATGAACAATGAAAATTAGAAAATCAGTTTGAGTACTTTAGCACCAAAAATCTATTGATTCTAAGACTTAGAACACTAGGTATGACAGAGGTATCTGATTTAGTTTTTGTTTTTCTGCATGTTCATATACAATGCAAAAATAAAATGAAACCAAAAGACCCTTTGAGATAAGGAAACAAAAAACAGAATCTATAGGAAACATTGAGAACAAAATAATCTGTTTGATGAAGCCCATATCATCACATTGTTCTTTATGACTGAAAGATAATGTTTATGTTGTTTCTAGATTTTTTTTTTTTTGCTATTAAAAATAACTTTGTGCCTCGGTTGGGTGGCTCAGTTGGTTGCAGCAACAACCCATACCTCACCCAAATGCCGGTTCGATTCTCAGTCAGGGCACATACCTAGTTGTGGATTTGCTCGATGGTTAGAGTGCATATGGGAGGCAATCGATTGATATTTCTCTCTTTTTTTTAAAAAAAATATCTTCATTGATTTCAGAGAGAGAAGGGAGAGGGAGACAGAAACATCAATGATGAGAGAGTCATCATTGATTGGCTGCCTCCTGCATGCCCCTGACTGGGGATCAAGCCCACAACCCAGGCATATGCCCTGACCAGGAATCCAACCATGATCTCCAGGATCCTAGGTCGATGCCCAACTGCTGAGCCTCGCCTGGCTGGGCTGTTTCTCTTTCACATCAATGTTTCTCTTTTCTCTCTCTCCCTCGAAAATATCAATGAAAACATAGCCTTGGGAGAGGATTAAAAATAAGTAAATAAATAATGCCATCATGACATCCTTATATATACCTTGCTGTACTTTTACAAGTACACATATAAGGGAAAATTCCTGGCAGTAGAAATGGTTACTAAAAGTACTAAAATATTTATACGTAATGCTTAAATGCCCTCTAAAAATATTGTAACAGTTTATATACCCACCAACAGCTCTTAAACGCCTTTGTTTCCCACATCCTTGACAATACTCTGCACCCTCAACTTTAATTTCTACCAGTACAAAATGGAAATGAGTATCCTGTTATTTTTATTTGCATGTATTGTGAGTACTGATATTACTGAACAGTTTCCCAATATAATTTACCTTATGAAGAAAAATCTTACAAAAATAATCCTCAAGCAATTGAAGAATGAAAAAAGATGTAGATGAAAAATTTCTAATACTGTCCTCACAGAGCAAGTCACTCACAGGGTACCAAAGTATCATCTAGCAGATTACTGATTTACAGAAGAAAAGATTTGTAGAGATCTGACACTTACCACCTTTCCAAGAGATCTTAGAATTATTCATTATTGGATAGACTAATATTATATGCCTCCTGATTTAATGCAATATAATGTATATAGCATCACCTATAAAGTTTTCTTACCAAAAATATTTATCTTAGATTTAAACCAGCTTTATTGTCTTCCACTTTACAAGAAATATAGAGGGTAGGGGAACAAGTTACATACTACCAAAGGGAAACAGAAAAACCCAGAACGTGCACACACTGAAGAAAGAAACTGAAGATACAAATAAATGGAAGTATATACCATGCTCATGGACAGGAAAAAGGAACATCATTAAAATGTCTATACTACCCTAAGCAATCTATAGATTCAACAAAATTCCTATCAAAATACCAATGGTATTTCTCAAGAACTAGAACAATTAAAAAATGTATATGGAACCACAAAAGACACTGAATAGCCACAGCAATCTTGAAAAATAACAAAGTCAGAGGTATACTTCCTGACATCAAACTATATTATAAGGCTATAGTAATCAAAACAGCATGGTACTGGCATATAAAAAAAGACACATAGATCAATGGAACAGAAAAGAGAGCCCAGAAATAAACCCACACCTTTATGGTCAATTAATATATGACAAAGGAGACAAGGACATACAATGGGGTAAAGACAGTTTATTCAACAAATGGTCTTGGGAAAATTGGACAGATACATGCAAAAAAATGAAACTAGGATCTTCTTACACTATATACTAGAATAAACTCAAAATTGATTAAAGACTTAAATGTAAGACTTGAAACCATAAAACTCCTAGAAGAAAACATAGGCAGTAAAATCTCTGAAATTTCTCTTAGGAATATTTTTCTGATACATCTCCTTGGGCAAGGGAAACAAAAGAAAAAAATAAATAAACAAATGGGACTACATCAAGCTAAAAAGTTTTTGTACAGCAAAGGAAACCATCAGCAAAATGAAAAGACAAACCATTGAATGAGAGAACATATTTGTCAATGATACATCTGGTAAAGGGGTAATATCTAAAATACATAAAGAACTCATACAACTTAACACCAAAAAACAAGCAATCCAATTAAAATGGACAGCAGACCCAAATAGATACTTCTCCAAACAGGACATACAGATAGCCAATGAACATATGAAAAGATGCTCAGGGTGACTTATTATCAGATAAATGCAAATTAAAACCACAATGACATATCACTTTACACCAGTTAGAATGGCTATCACCAATAAATCAACAAACAAGTGCTGGTGAAGGTGTAAAGAAAAGGGAACCCTCGTGTACTGTTGCTAGGAATGCAGAATGGTATAGCCACTATGAAAACAGTATGGAGGTTCCCCCTAAAATTAAAAATGGAACTGCCTTATGACCCAGTGATTCCACTTCTGGATATACATCCAAAGAATCCCAAAACACTAACTTGAAAAATATATGCAGCATTATGTTCACTGCAACGTTAATTACAACAGCCAAGATATGGAAGCAACCCAAGTGCCCATCAATAGACAAGTGGATAAGAAAGTGGTGGTACATATATGCAATGAGATATTACTTGGCCATAAAAAGAATGAAATCTTACCATTTGAGACAGCATGGATGGAACTAAACAGTATTATGCTAAATGAAATCAGTCAGACAGAAAAATACAAGTATCATGATTACACTTATATGTGGAATCTAAAAAGCAAAATAAACAAAATAGAAAAAGATTCATAGATACAGAGAACAGACTGATAGTTGCCAAAGGGGAGGGATGTCTGTTGGGGGCTTGCAAAAGATAAACAGAGTAAGAACTACAAGTTGGTAGTCACAAAATAGTCCTGGGATGTAAAGTAGACATAGGAAATATAGTTGATAATATTGTAGTAACTATGTAGGGTGCCAGTTGGGTACTGGAAATATCAGGGGGACACTCTGTAAAGTATATAATGGTCTAACCACTATGGTGTACACCTGAACTGAGTACAAAATATTGAATGTAAACTATAATTGAAAAAGAAAAGAATGTAGATTGGTCTCATAATTCTACACAATGACTTCATCCAAATAAATCAATGGCATTTGGGGGGGGTTCCATGTGAGGGGAGGGTCTGTTCTGGATTAAAAGAGATTAAAGAAACATTACAACCAAACATAATGCATGATCCCTGACTGGATTCTGATTTAAGTAATGTTTTTAAAAGCTACTGAAGACTTAAGGACAACTAGGAAAACCAGAAAACTACATGATATCAAAGAATTATTAATTTTCTTAGGTGTGATAACAGAATTAAGGTTATATATGTCAATATTCATATATTAGGACATGTACTGTGAGGAAACTATCATGATGTTCACAAACCTACTTTCAAATAATTCAGCAAGAACAAAAACATATTAAAGCAAATATGGCAAGCCCTGGCCGGTTTGGCTCAGTGGTTCGAGTGTTGGCTCTCAGACTGAAGGGTCCCAGGTTTGATTCCGGCCAAGGGGATGAACCTCGGTTGCAGGCTCAATGCCCGACCCCAGTTGGGATGTGTGTGGGAGGCAACCAATCGATGTGTCTCTCTCACATCGATGTTTCACTCTCTTTCTCTCTCTCTCTCCCCCTTTCACTCTCTCTGAAAAGCAATGGAAAAAATATCCTCGGGTGAGGGTTAAATAATAAATAAATAAAATCAAGCAAGTATGGCAAAATGCTAATTGTCGAATCTAGGTGTCAAGTATATAGGTAAGTATTGTTCTATTCTTTCAACTTTCTATATGTTTGCAAATTTTCATAAAGAAAATTTAAAGAAAAATTTTGGAAGTCTCTAGAAATTATTAAAAATTAATTTTGAACTACTGTTTCTAATATAATATATAGAGTTTTGGTAGTGATGGGTAAAGACACAAGGCTACAAAAAAAAAGCAAGTAATGAATAAGAGAAGTATCATAAGTCTAGCTACAATCACTATTTCTGTAATTTCAATTGGCCTTCTTCTAATGCCCTGTCATTCATATTAGTGAGGTTTTACTATTTTAGCATGGAATTTAGTCCACAGAAAATAGGAACTAAAAAAGAAGCCCAGCATGGCTCAGTGGTTGAGCATCAACCCATGTACCAGGAGGTCACCATTCTATTCCTGGTCAGGGCACATGTCCAGGTTTTGGGCTCAATCCCCAGTAGGGAGCTTGCAGGAGGCACCCAATCAATGACTCTCATCATTGATGTTTCTCTCTCCCCCTTTCTCCCTTCCTCTCTCTGAAATCAATTAAAAACCATATTTTTTTAAAAAATCACACCTTTAAAAAATAAATAAAAGAAAAAGAAAGCAAAGTGATGAGTCTTCTGGTTAAAATGAAGTAAAACTCAAATAGCTTAAGGCAAATATATAATTAAATATTTATTGTTTGGATTTGATTAGATTTTAAATATAAGAATCCAAGAGAAACTCTTTAAAACCAATGTATACACTTTATAAAGGATTCTTTTAATATCCAGTAAGTGGAATTTTTATATCAGTCATTTTATTACATAAAAACTTGTTTACTGCATAACCTTCAACCACAATGCTTATTTCTAAAACGTTGCCCAAACACTCCTGGGATTATACATTGAGAAGATACCAAGAGATTAAAATAAAAGTTATCTTCTCAAAAGAGGGTCTTTAAGGTAAAAAGTCCTAGGCCGAGACAAAAGGAACAATTGGTGCTAGGGGTACAAAGAATAGAAGTTAGTCCTTTTAATAAGTAAGGGATAAATGTGAGTATTCTATTCTCATAAAAAAACCCAAAAAAACAAAAACCCCTCAATACTTACACAATTATAGCAATTACTATGAGAAAAAGATCTCCAAATATGGCTATTCTGGACATTTTGCATAAATGGAATCATATGATATTGGCTTTTGTGTCTGGCTTCTTTCACTTAGTATGTTCTCAAGGTTCACTGGTATTGTAGCAAGTTCCAGTACTTCATTCCTTTCTGTGGCTGAATAATATTTTACTGGATGACTATACCATACTAGTTTATCCATTCACCAGTTAACGGACATTTAAGATGTTTCCACTTTGGGGCTATTTTAAAAAAAAAATACATTTTTATTGATTTCAGAGAGAGGAAGGGAGAAGGAGAGACAGAAATACTGATCAGCTGCCTCCTGCATGCCCCCTAATGGGGACCCAGCCTGCAACCCAGGCATGTGCCCTGACAGGGAATCAAAACTTCAACTTCTTGGTGCATGGGATAACACTCAATCTACTAAGCAACACTGGCTGGGAAGGGACAGTCTTTTTATAAGACATGATGAAAACTCATAAAAAAAAAATTTTCCTAGATAAAAATTTTAACTTCTACATAAACTCACAAACGTGAAAACTGGGGGGAGGGGGGGATAATTTGCCACACATGACCAAAAAAGGGCTGATTCTCTCAGAATATAAAAAATATACTTCTTTTGGAATTAAAAAATCAATTTTAATTACCAAATAAAAAATGGTCAAAAACACAGTTTAAAAAAAAAAAAGCCCAGAAAAGAACAATGTTGGCAATGTCAGAAGACATTTTTGCAACTAGAGAATAATGTTACTGTCACTGTCGTATAGTGAGACCAGGGATGCTGCTGAACATCCTACAATGCATAGAATAACAAAGAACTATCTGACTCAAAATGTCAATAGTGCTGTAGTTGAGAAACTGTGATGTAGCATTTCAAGATATTTTTAAAAAATTTATCTTTATTGTTGAAAGTATTACAGATGTCCCTGTTTTCCCCCCATTGATCCTCTCCACCCCACACCTAACCCCCCTCCCTTAGGCCTTCACCACACTATTGTCTGTGTCCATGGGTTATGCCTAAATTCTTTGGTTAATCTCTTCCCACCTGCTCCCCACCCCCCTTTCCTCTAAGATTCGTCAGTTTGTTCCATGTTTCTATGTCTCTGGATCTATTTTGTCATCAGTTAATTTTGTTCATCAGATTCCACATTTGAGTGCGATCATGTGATACTTGTCTTTCTCTGACTGGCTTATTTCACATTTCAATTTCTAGCCACACATTCCACTGAACACTCACACAAGTGGGTACAGATAAAACAAGGATAATTACTGAAGAATTATTTTTAATAGCGAGGAGAAACAATTTCCCAATAGGGAATACTTAAATAAATTATGATATAGTCATAGTGTACTACATAATTTAAAAGAATAAGGTAGCCCTGGCCAATGTGACTCAGTGGGTAGAGTGTCAGCCTATGCACTGAAAGGTCGCAGGATTGATTCTGGTCAAGGGCACCTCAGTTGCAGGTTCCCTTCCCGCTTCCAGTTGTGGCACGTGTGGGAGGCAACCAGTTGATGTGTCTCGCTACATCAATGTTTCTCTCTCCCTCCCCCTCCCTGCTTCTCTCTCTAAAAAGCAATGGAAAAAAGATATCCTCAGGTGAGGATTAAATAAATAAGGTAGATGTATATGTAGTTACAGAGAACGATATTTAAGACATTGCTAAGCTAAATAATAAAACAGCCTTACCACAGGCTCCTGGTTTTAGAAAAATAATGTCTGCACAATTAAAAAATCTAGACCAGCATTATCTTCGTAGTGGGAGGTCAGGGGACCATTATCTTATTTATCATTTTTCTTTGTATTTGTTATGTTTATATTGTTTAAATAATAGCAGCTGACATTTACTGAGAATTTCTAAAAGTTAAGATATTCAAGCCCTTTGCCTGTGTTTAACCTTTCATTTAATCTTTATAACCACTATAGAGTACTATTAACTACATTTTAAAGATGAGAAAACTGAGGCATAAAAGTGATTCATGAGTATATAATTAAACAGCTTTACTAAAGTGTAATTTATACACCATAAAACTCACTTGTTTTACATGTATAATTCAATGATTTTTAGTAAATTTAAAATTGTGTAACCATTGTCACAATCTAATTTTAAAACACTGCAATGACTTCCAAAAGAAATCTCATGCTCATTTTCAGTCATTCTGTTCCCACCCTCAGCCCAGGCTTTCTGTCTATGGATTTGACTTTTCCAAACATTTCGTACAAATGGAATCATACAGCATATGGGTTTTTTTTTTGGTCTGGATTCTTTCACTTAGAATGTTTTTGAGGTTCATCCATGTTGTAGCATCATCAGACCTTCATTCCTTTATACTGTCAGATAGTATTACATCATACACATATACGTACCATACTTTATCTGTTTACTAGTTAATAGATATCTGGGTTGTTTCCATATTTTGGCTATTATGAATAATGTTGCTATGAACATTCAGATACAAATTTTTATATGGACATATGTTTTTATTTCTCTTGGGTAGATACCTAGGAGTAGAATTTCTGGGTCATTTAATAAATTCATGTTTCTAACTTTTTAAACACCTGCCAAACAGTTTTCCAAAGTAGTTGCATTATTTTACATTCCCATCAGCATTACATGAGTGTGTTTTCATATCCTCACCAACACTTATTGTCTATTCTTTTTATAAGAAAAAATCAAAGGTAAAATTTTTAAGAGGTTGAGACCACTTATTCCTGTCACTTTTTGCCACACTGTACTTCCTATATGTAAATTCTGCCACCTCTCAAACATGTACCTACTTCATGATATAAATTGAGACTGAATAAAATCTGAATATGTTCAATAAATGCAGAAAATGATATTAACATAAACAACTGCTCTTACATGAAAACCTACTTCAAATTTTAAATTGTATATACACATACAGTACATACATAATACCACTTAGAAATAATATACATACCTAATTTTAGTTCAATTGCTGTGTTGGTGTTACATTTGTACTCTGCCAGTTTCTTCTCCACTGCACTTTTGTACTCAACCAAAAATTTCTCCATAGCACCAAATCCTAAAAGAAAAGGTTTTTAAAAGGTCTGGTTGAAAGTGGTTTAAATAGCTAAATCTAAAAATAGGGTTGTTATTAGAAGTGGAACAAAATTAAGATTTAAAGCATTTTAATAGATCATAAAAGTACGGGTCATTCTCCATATACTTCTAAATAAATGTATGAAGTATGAATGCCTCATTATAAAACAGATAAAACATCATTTCTGAGATAAAGGTTTATGAAGACATAAATGAGTAAACCTGAAAATTAACATGACAGATTACTGACATTGCTGAATATTTAATACTAATAGAAATTACCTGCTAGGATTTATAGCTACATAGCCTTTCTAAAAGAAATATAAAAAGGATGCCACTGCTCCACTAAGAAATAAAGTGAGAATATCCTTTAATAATTACAACAGCATTTCATTTCTAATACTGGAAAAATTCTACCCAGAGTACTTCCAGACTAACTATGAAAAAAGCCATCCACTGATAATGCATAGATTATCTCAGGAAAGATACACAAGAAACTGGTAACCATGGTTACCTGTAGGATAAGAGAAGGAATGGGTATAGGGTTACAAAAGAAAATTCTCACTGTATTAAAATTTTTTTTTCCACCTGTGCATAGTCATAAACTATTCCAGGCTACTGGAATAACCAAATGGTTTTACAACATGGCTAGCCATCAACATATATAACAAATAATAATTAACAATGAAAGAAATCACTATCAAGAGGAACTTTCAAGCAAAGATGACAATAAATCTCCTGACGAAAGAAACATAAAAATTAGTAAAAATTCAGGGGGGAAAAATTATGAGCAGAAACAAAAGGGGTACAATGACATGCCATAAACTTCAATAAGTGGTTAAAACACATACACAGAAAATGGGGACACACCTGAGGCAATACACATTAGTGATTTGGAGTCAGAATTCCTGCACTCAAACCCAGTGTTTACCATTTATTTACTACATCTGTGACTACCTGACTTCTCTGACCCTAATCTATAAATGTGAGATAACAGAACCCACCTTAAGGAATCTAGGCAACAAAATTTAACTTGTGAAATCATACATTACTTAATCCCCACAATTTTATAACACAAGTAGATACTATATCAGTCCCATTTCATATTCAAAAACTCAAGCTTAGCCCTAGCCGGTGTGGCTCAGTGGCTAGAGTGTGAGCCCCTGGACTGAAGGGTCCTGGGTTTGATTTTGGCCAAGGGCACATACCTTGGTTGCAGGCTCTATCCCCGGCCCCAGTTGGGGCATGTGCAAGAGGCAATCAATCGATGTCTCTCTCTCACATCAATGTTTCTCTCTCTCTCTCTCTCTCTCCCCCTTCCACTCTTTCTGAAAAGCAATGGAAAAAATATTCTCAAGTGAGGATTAAAAAACAAAATAAAACAAAACAAAAAACCTCAGGCTTAGAAAGGTTTTATTCGCTTAAGGACTCAACTACTAAGTGCTAAAGCTGAGATTCCAACTTAGGTGTAATTCTTAAACATGTACACCCTATGCAATACATATGTTCCCCCTCTTTTATAGTACCAGGGTACTCCATGATCCTACAGCTCTTCCTTAAACATCTGTAGAGCGCAAGCTATAGCCAGTCTATCCAGCACATCCATAACAGGGTAGTGAGACTACTATGAAGGCACTGGGAAAAGAGATAATAGAACTGTTCATCACGTCAAAAGATATGTAATTGGGGGGAAAAAGTATGTAGTCACATGAAAACAGTCTTAATACACGTACAAAATAATAGCATTATTAGGTAATATTAAGTGTTGTAAATGAGACTCAATAAAGAGAGACTAGAATGACCACGAGAATTACATTGTTGACACACTCTACAGAGAGTTTAGGTGAAGGAATAATGTGAGATCCTCTTTCTCAAAGAAAATCTAAACACATCCTAGAATTACTTTGGTGTGAGAGCTTAAGAAGACTGCGAAGTGAGAGCCCCAGTGCGGGGCAAGGCAGCAATGCGCAAGCTCTTAAGTTGACGGTCGTGGAAGGCGGAGGGCGATGTGAAAGAGGAGGATCGGGGTATTAAAACCAGCTGGCGGGAACAGAACCAGACTAGTGTAGCTGAGGCAGCAGTGGGCCAAAGAAACGAGAAAGAAACAGGCCTCAAAGCACCTGGCACCTTACAACCCAAATCGCGGCGCTTTCCCCCGGCCTCTTCGTCCCTCCGCAGCGGCCAAGTTCACAGAAGGCGCAGAAGCACGAGCAGCTGGGGGCGGAGGCGCGAACCTCCGCCGACAAGAAGCTGCGCTGAGAGTTCCGCGCTTTCGGGCTGCAGCAGGCCTTCTGGAACCCAGGCTAGAGCCCGAAAGTTCCAGGCAGGCACTGTCACCACGGTCTCGGCGTTCTTTCTCAAACCTGCCTGCCCCCTCCCCTTGGTAAACTTTTCCCGGGAACTTACCCGCCATTTCCGAGCTGCGAGCACCCGCGGCCGAGGAAGGACGAATCAACCCGCGCGCTCCCTGGCCGGAAGTGAGCGCACTGGGTGACGCATTTCCCCCGCCCACCAATGAGAGGAGGAGGTCCGAGGCGCCGAGTGGCGGAAGCAGCTCAAAAGGCGGGGCTAACACCGCCCGGAGTGCTCCGACCGTTGCTTAGCCACCGCGAGTGCCGTCAGCCGTTTTGTAGGCCTGAAGTAGAGGAGGAAGCCTACCTTCTATGTTAGCCTTGGGAGCGTTTCTTTGGGGTTCATTTGAATAATATAGGTACCTTATGGCAGCTTTCTGTCCCCCACTGGCGATGTTTTGGAAACAGGAAAACTCTCCCCTTGGCCTGGACGATAGATCCAAACACCTGAATCCTAGTTTAAAATGTAGGAATTGAATTGCAGTTGCGGGAGAAAATTTCACTTACTTTGTTTCTATTTTTGCTGTCAATATTTGCTTAACATCGTTTTACTTTTCTCACGTTTTTTAACAGTATACGATGGGACGTCAATTTAGGTACTCTGCTTTCACTCTTAAGGTTGCTAGGCAACCATTTAGTGTACTGAAATTGTTACTTAATACCTCAAGTGGCCTGATCTGGTCCTGCAGGTTTCAAGTCCTAGCGGCCTGAACCACATCACAATACGCTACCTGTTTTGAGCCATTGGGCTTGTTAGTATTTAGTAACTGCTGAAACTTTGTCCCAGAGGATAAGCCACTTTTTTTTTTAATATATCCCAAATATTCCCACAGTATTGTCTATACAATAGAATGCCTTGTGTCAGCCAATGTTGCTTATTAGGTTTTACAATGATGCTAGAGCTAAAATGGACCCTTGGAATGATAGTCTAGAACTAATGCACCCCTTCATTTTAGAGATGAGGAAACTAAAGCCCAGAAAAGAGATTGCCCAAGTCCATTCAGTATACAGCCTATGCAAGAGTCCAGTTCTTCAGATACCCCAGTATTTGTTGGACTACATGGAGATGGGCCTCCTGAAGATAAAGATCAAAAACAGGTACCGAGAATGCTCAGATCCTTTTCCTTTAAGCCTTAATGAAACACCAGAAATTATGATTATACAGTGTTAAGCAGAAAACTGAAATCAATACTAATGGAAATCAATGACATCATGGATCAAAAAAGGAAAGCAATTTTTTATAATCTCTTCAAAATGTCAACACTCACTATTTCTTTCCAAAACCACCTTATCTGTAGATAAGTCAATTGCTGACTAGCAATTATGATCCATGAAATAAGAAATCAAGAGAATTTTTCGTAACTGCAGCAAATCTGAAACAGATTAGTCCTGCGACTTTGTGGTTAGTTGTAGTAAAGAAATATGATGAAATCTATACATGATAAATGTGAAAAAGAAATAAGATGAATATGAGTAAGAAATATGTGAAACGTATCATGTGACTGGTATGATCAGCTTGCAAAATGGAGAGATTTTACAGTTTTAAATTGTCCTTGCCTTAGCGCTGTTCTCACATTTATTAAAATGTCACAGAATTCATGTTTAGGTACAGTTTGCCTAAAAGATAAAAGAATGATGTCTTTCAGATTAGTAATAGTAAAATTACCAAAAAAGAAAAGCATTTCCTCTTTTGGACTACATGGAGATAGGGTTTTATCCTCTTTTTGAATGTATATTTTACCTTATTCTAAATGAATTTAGGAAATGTATGTTACCACCATAGAATAAAATACCTATGAAAAAAAATATGCTGTCCTGATATGTATGGTGTGCAAAGTTCAAGCCCTACTAGTCTAAGTTCTACTTCTTCATGATTGTAACCTTGTTTCATCTATTAAGTGGAGACAATATAATCCTTCCCAGTCACCACACTGGTTGAAAATCAAATGGAACAATGTTTATCATAAATTCTATGTTAAGCCCTGGCTAGTGTGCTCAGTGGTTAGAGTGTCAGCCCAAGAACCGAAAGGTTGTGGGTTTGAATCCTGGTCAAGGGCACGTACCTGGGTTGCAGATTCATTCTTCTGCCCAGTTGGGGGCTTGTGGGGGAAGCAACCAATTGATGTGTCTCTCTCACTTCGATGTTCCTCCCTCCCTCACTCCCTCCCACTCTAAAAGCAATGGAAAAATGTCCTTGGGTGAGGATTAAAACAAAATTCTATGTTAATATGAGGTGGTATTTGTATAATAATATTTATTCTATAATAAGAGGTCTGGAAAAGGCCATATTACACTCTTAGGAATGAACTAGCAACTGTGTGTTTGCTACAGGTTCAAGAGAATATAGACTAGTAAATTTTGCCATCAGGTTTTGAAACCTCCAGAAGGGATATTTTTTTAAAGACATGGCATTAAACATATGGTCATCAGAAAGTGGAGGTAGGAAATCTGAGGTCTAAAACATAAATGTAGGTCTTAATGTGTCTTTATTTAAAAATATATACAGATTAATAACAATAACTAGTTAACGCATTTGTTTAGCTCATAGTGCTAATGGTATGGGGGTGGGGTATGAGTTTCAGTTCCCAGACAGTTATCCAGAATCCCCTCCCAAGCTAGATGACTTTCATATGGGATAAAAGAAAGAAAATAAAAATAGACCAGCTAATATTGAAAACTACTGTTAGAGGAATAACTTAAAGATACACATTGCCAACAGACTGCGCTTTCCTTTTTTGTTTCCACCTCACCTTTATTTCCTAATTGTTGTTGGAAATGTTCTGTTTTTCCTTGGAAGGCAGCCATCCTCCCCCATATTTGTCCATTTTCCAGAACAGTCTTGTATTCTAAATAGCTCATCTCCTCTGGAAGAAATTAATTCACACCAAATGCCAGCCTTGCTTAAAGGTCTTCTATAGTTGCTCAAGGAAATATTGTCATCGGAAAGAGACCTGGTCAGAGCCTCGGGCCAGCCTGTAGTGTGTGGGTTCTTGACTTAGTGTAGGAAAGACTTCACAAAACGAGTCCAGGTGGTTTTGAGAATACGTTTATTAAAGCTGGGGATTGTGAAATAAGGAAGGGCCTAGGATAGGAGAAGCAACAGGAGAGAGCCTAGGTGGGGCTGCTTTGGCTCTTTAGAAATGTTATAGGAAAGAAGGGAGCCAAGGCGTGGCAGCTGGTAGCTTACTGAAAAGTCAGAGGAAAAGAGGCCTTGAAGACAGTTTCAGGGGATAAGTACAGGATGAGCTACCACTGCTCGCTGCTGCTCGCTGGTTGCAAGTCTCCTGGGGACCCTTAGAGTTTAGGAGGAAGTTCACACTGGAACTTGGGAGTGCTCCAGAAAGAGCCCAGCACACATTACATTTTTTTAACTTATACACTATCCATAGATGTAGAAACTAGTAGTTTTTGAGAAGCAATTTAGCAATTTTAACAACTTTAACACAACTTTCAATTTGTACATCTTTTGAGGCAACAGTTCCCCTTACAAGCATTTGTCCTACAAAACTATTTGTACAAGAATGCAAAGATATATCAACAAAGATGTTCAATGCATCATTAATTTTATTGGCAAATTGGAAATAACCTAAACATTCATCAAAAGCAGCTGAGTTTTGTTTTTTGTTATTTTACATGATTATAAGAACGAAAACTATTGCAGTAGGCTGATTGTAACAGTACTCTGTAGTCCTCTTTGAAACATCCCTGTGTTTGTTGAATATGCCTTATAGTACTGAACCACACTTTCCCACCTTTCCAGAAAAGAGGGCCCAAATTAAAATTTGAATAATCTCTAAGAATCTAAGCATGAAAAAAGTAGCCATTCCTTTCTTTTATTTTTTTTAATTCTTACCTGAGGATATTTTTTCCATTGCTTTTCAGAGAGAGAAGAAAAGAGAGAGAGATATCAAATGGGGGCCGGGGATTGAACCTAGAACCAAGGTACCTTGGCTGGAATCAAACCCGGGACCCTTCAGTCTGAGGGCCAATGCTCTAACCACTGAGCAAAACCAACTAGGGCTAGCCATTTCTTTTTAAAAAGAAACTATGTCTTATAATTATAGATTTTTAGACAAATTTCTTGTATCAGGAAGAAATACAAATTTTGTCATGTTTCTCTAGCAGTTTTTTTGAGTCTTAGACTAAGAACAAATTATGAATAAACCCAATACCTGAATATGTTTTAATTCACTCTCATTTTCAATCAATTGGCATAGTAAATGTGTCATTGCTAAGCTGATAGTAGATGCCAAGGTACATTTAATCAGTAATTCTGTCCTCACGTAGTGTGTTGTGATGCCTCTATATGAAAGGGGAAAAATGGCTTGAACCTGTATATCATACATGACTTTGAAATTAGCACCTCGAGTAGCACTAATTTTTTTTTTTTAATATGTCTTTATTGATTTCAGAGAGAGGAAAGGAGAGGGAGAGAGAGAAACATCAATGATGAGAGAGTCATTGATCAAGCCCTCAACCCGGGCATGTGCCCTGACCGGGAACTGAACCCTGATCGCCTGGATCCTAGGTCGATGCTCAACCACTGAGCCACACCCGCCCGGGCAGTAGCACTAATTTTTATTTTAATATTTTTCTATAACAAAACCAGAAGCACTAGAAAAAGAGGTTTTATTTTGTAAACAATCATTCATGACTTTAGACATTCTCTATTAATATTCTAGTAAGCTCACAGCAGATATTTCCACGATCATGCATGAGGGGTGGTACGTGTTGAGATTTCAAGTGACATAAAGCTGCATGCTTGTCTAGCTCTTTTTGATTTAGTTTTTAAATACAATGTGCCAATTTTGTGAATATCATCATGCAAAAGTCCTCTTGAAATGAAAAATTATGTCTGATCCCCAAATTAAATAATTTATGTGTAAAATTAAGTGTGAATAAATCTCATATCAAATTTCAAACTTTTATAAGTGAATGGTTTTCACCAAGAACATATAAAAGTCAATAAAATTCTCTTGACTTTTCATACACACAAAAAAGCACTGGCTAATGTATACTGACTTGGGAAAATATCTACGATATAATTGGTTAAAAAATAAATTACACTGATTGTAATATTTTATTTGTATTAAAAATTGTATTATGATATAAACATTGAAAGCATACCTAACAAGTTTAACTGTGGCTGCCTCTAGGAGAGGGAATTTTGAGATGGGGATCAATGAGGGATTTAAAAAGAAAAATACTGTTAGCTAGTTTTAATGAAGATGTATTGCTTGCTTTCATAATTAGAAACTTATCAATCTTTTTGGAGTTTTTAGACATGGTTGCTAACTCCTTACCCTCTTCTTTACATTCTATAAATTATGATACACAGAATCAAAGAGAAGCAACTTAATTAAAAAAGGAACAGTTAGTTGAAAATTAGTATTTCTAGTTTTGCATTCTGTCATTATTTATAAGTAAAGATTGGTCACATGAGGGAAGAGCACTATAATTTCTTATACTTGTTTACAAAATGACCATCCAGTAGTCCCTGCTTTACTTTTTGAAACTATAACTCATAAGAATGGTATTAATTATGTATGTCTACTTAGGGTGGGTAACACAATAATGCCTATGATATTTCAAATTCCATAGTTAAAATGCTATTTCAAATGTTAATTCTTTTTTCCAGTTTTAGTCAACAAAAAAATGACCATTATTCCTCTGTTTTAACTTTGTTATTTTGCTATTGTTTTCATTGTTTCTTTTTTTTTAATTAAATATATCTTTATTGATTTCAGAGAGAGGAAAGGAGAGGGTGAGAGAGATAGAAACATCAATGATGAGAGAGTCATTGATCGAGCCCGCAAGCCGGGCATGTGCCCTGATGGGGAATCACCTGGATCCCAGGTCGATGCTCAACCGCTGAGCCACGCCTGGCCAGGCTGTTTTCATTGTTTCTTAATGTGAAAGTGTTTCCAGGTAAGGGGAAGGTGAAGAAAACTTCATTAAAGTTACTTAGATATTAAAGAAATAAGACTAAAAAGTGTGAAAATTATGACTAGAAATATTCATTCTATTTATTTATTTTTAATTTACCTTTATTGAAAGTATTACAGATGTCCCCTTTTTAGAAATCTTCATTTTAAACT